CTACTCGTGGGTCTCCTCGTCACATGTCTGGACACTAATGGCTGGAGTGTTTGAAGCAGTCACTAATACTTACTCTAACTGTCCATGTACTACTGGCAGTCTATCAGGTAACACTATGGCTTCATTTATTGGTGATAACTTCTTCTGTGAGTCTGGGAATCCTACTAATCAGTATCCTCTTATACTCTATCCATCTGATCCACTCTGGGATGGTAAGCTTTGTCGTTCTCTTGAAGCAGCTTGTTGCAATGCTCCAGGACTACCATGGTTTCACAGAGACTATGGTAACACCACCACTACTGACTATATTGAGTTGAGGGTTTGTGGAGATCAAGGAGGAGAAGACTCTCCCTTTTCTTTAGCTGAAATATACGTAAAATAACTTATAAAAGTTGATGTTTAAACTGCCGTTGCTTTAGGTTTTAACTTTCAGTTGCTGCTACTGCTATTATTGTGATTATTGCTTTTCCCTTTTAAAAAAATGCTACAGTTTAATAAGTGTTAAGAGCCCATTTCAAGCATTACAAGAATACATGCAGTGCTAGTAGTACACATAATACTGTCATTTATTGTATACTCTGTCATCTACATAAAATCATGACCTAGTTACATTATGCATGTTTAAAGGCTGAGATATTGTGTGGCATCCTGAGTATAATGATATTACAAACTGTGAGCATGTTCTCAGCACATGCTCTAATGTAATAGGATACTCTAATGATGAATAATACCATCATCCACCCATCATATGACCAGTAGGCTCTGCTAAACAACAGTTGCTGCTTTTGAGGACTTGAAATAATATCAACTAGTCTAAAGAATGGAGGAAGATGATAACAAGAACCTTTATGAGGTTGACCAGTATGATGGAAAGGATGACTTCCCTCAACGACCAATAGCTAATCTACAGATACACGATACTGTCCCAGTTGGAAGGAAAGGCCTATTCTTTATCATTGGTATACAAGTCTTTGTAATCCTTATCCTTATAATACTACTGGGTATCAATGGTGTTACACTAACACACTTGAATACAGTAGATATGTGTGATAGTACTGGAGCTAGTACTGGTGGCCTGACCAGTAATGAGCCTATTCAGTGCAACTGTACTGGAGTTGCTAGCTCTAACATGGCAGTTGCTACTGGTCTCGGACAACTGGTTAATATGACTCGTGGAATTGTTGATAAAGTTAACGGTATTGTGGACTACACTACTAATGATGCAGCAGCAACTGAAAACATGACAAATTTACTGGGGCAGGTCGGCCAACTGATCTCTGGTCAGTTAGGACAGGTTATGAGTCAAGTCTCTGACACTACAACAAAAGTGGAGAACATCCAACAATTTGCTGACCAGCAGGTCACTGATACTCAGAATATTTCCGATACTCTTCAAATGGTTCTGCAGAAAACTGGGGATTCGGTAAACAAGTTGACATCAATCGTTGGTTCTCTCAGCAACATAGAAAGCAATGGAGTTACAACAGCCTCAGTAGTGAATGATATACTAGTAATAGCTGAAGAACTACTGGAGCTACAGAATGCATCTTCTCTTTTTAACTCTATCAAACCAGTCTCTTGTAAGGATATCAAGGCAGTCCTACCTAACAGTCCTACTGGTTACTATCATGTTAACAGTCGTACCATTTACTGTAATATGGACACACTCTGTAACTCAACTGAAGGATGGACAAGACTAGGCTATCTGGATATGACTGATGCTACACAGACCTGTCCTTCTGGGTTTGCTTTAT